TGCCACGCTCGACAGATATACAACAATTCTTGAAAAGCCATCTTTCTGTCGCTTTCGCAAAGCATAACGCTAGCCATGCGTGCACCGGAAGGCGCCCGTGTGCCCTCTACACCTTTCTCAGTCACCTCCCCCAACATATATATACAATCCAGAAGCTCTGTTCAACTTATACCCATCTTCGAGACCCTCTTTTCAAAAAGGTCATCAAACTGAAAAAAAAAGCAATTTTCAAGCTGTGTAATACAAGTTCAGCTCCATTATCAGCTTCACCGGCGTTTAGAAGAAAGGGGGGAGGGGTTTGTTTGATGATCGAGAGCCCTCAGTTGAGAAAATGAAAAAAAAAAAATAAAATAAAATAGAATAGAATAGAATAAAACGCTGAGACTGGAAAAAACAAACACAGTTACTGAAGAATCGCCGAAAGGTTTAGCCGAATCTAATAACGTAAGTTATTCTAAGTAAGTATAGGTATATCTTGAGACGGATGATTCGATTCTACATTGCTTAAAAGAAGACTTTGTACTGTATATATATATACAGAATTATATCCTGAATGAGCAAATGAGCAGAGGCTGCAAAAAGTGAAAACACACGGGGGTTCGGCTGACTCTCGTCGTTATCGGCATCATTCTCTCTCTCTCCCTCTCTCTCTCTCTCTCTCCCCCCTCCCTCTTCATCTTCTCCTCCTAACCCATCGCACGGGTTGACTCGCATGTAAAAACACCGCCACTCACTCACGCCTCGCTTATCAGCGGCGGGAACAGCGTGCCCGTCGTTCCCTGCTTGAGATCCACCAGCGGTACCCCGTAGTCACCGTCCGCCCCGAGTCTGGCGGCGGCGAAGCTGCGCCTGCCCGCCTCCCGCGCGACCCCGAGCATGTCCAGCAGCTCGGCCGCTTTGTGCGGCATGAACGGCTGCAGCAGGATCCCCGCGATGCGGAGCGATTCTGCCGTGGTGTACAGCGCGCTGCTCAGGGCGGGGTTTTGGCGTTGCGTTTGGGGTTGTGTTTGAGAGTTCACGAGGGACCATGGCTGCATGTCGTGGAAGTATTTGTTTGTCTGCGTGGATGGAGAAAGAGTTGTTAACAGTTTTTGTTAGTACCGTTTTCCGTTTTGTACTGCGAGAAGATGCACGCAGGAAAAAAAAAAAAAAAAAAAAAAAAATACTAAGAAAATGGAAAGAAGTAGAATTGCTTTCCTCACCTGGTATATGATCTCCATGATGCTGTTCAGCGCCCTGCGCGGGTCGAGCTGCTCCATCTCCGCCTTGACTCGCCCCGGCATCGCCTCAAGAAGCCCATGGTGTTTGTCCCGCGCCAACCGGCCCTGCGCCGCCAGCACGACGCTGTCCCGCACGCTCCACTTCTTCCCCCGCAGCAGCCGGCTGGCCAGGTTCCCAATGCCCCACTGCAGGCCCTTCTTGTACCTCTCGACGATATACGAGTTCTCGTAGTCAGAGTCGGACGTTTGCGCGCCGTCGATCGTGAGGTAGAAGCGCATCGCGTCCACGCCGAACCGCTCCATGGCGAAGTGCGGGTTGACCACGTTGCCCGGGGACTTGGACATTTTTTCGTGGTTGATGGTCCAGTGCCCGTGTGCCAGGATCCGGCACGGGAGGGGGAGGCCCCCCCCCATCAGGAACGGGGGCCAGTATATGCAGTGGAATCTGTTTTTCCCGGGGAAAGGGGGGGGGGGGGGGGGGGAGGAGCCGATTAGCATCGATTAGCTCTGAAGTTATGTTTTTCTTGACGATTGGGCCTGAGTATTGACTGTGGCTTTCTTTCCATGAATCCGAGGTTCGCGAGGAATTCCACTCACCGGAGTATATCTTTCCCAACCACGTGCACATCCGCCGGCCATATCGACTGCGCGCCGGGCGGGAACGGATATCCCGCATACGTGATGTAGTTCACCAGTGCATCCAGCCAGACGTAGATGACCTGCGACTCGTCGTACGGCACAGGGATCCCCCACTTCAGCCTGCTGGCGGGTCTCGATATTGACAGGTCTTGCAATCCCGACGTGACGGCGCTGACAATGCCGTCCATGTAGTTCCTCGGCGTGATGAAGTTGGGGTTCTTCCTGAAATGCTCGAGCAGCGGCTCCTGGAAAGTAGAGAGCCGGAAATGGTAGTTCTCCTCTGACGCCCACTGCACTTCCTTCCCGGTCTCTATAGACGTCTGTGGAGGGGTAATAGAACGTCAGCCAGGAAATAGTAATAGTAATGGAAATAGATAGAGAAGGGTCAGGGGAACGCACAATGATTTTGCGTCCCGTGGACGGGTCTAGGGTCGGCTGGACGGCTGAGGGGGGGTAGAACGCCTCGTCGCTGACGGAATACCATCCTTCGTGCTTCGACGTGTAAATATAGCCCCGGTGGTTAAGCATGTCCTACCCAGATGTCAGTATCGCCATTCCATCCCGTTGAGATTTTAGATGCGACGGGCACGCCTCATACCCAAAAGTATCGCACCGCCTCCTTGTGCTCCGCGTCCGTCGTCCGTATAAAGTGATCGTAGCCCACATTCCCCTTCCTAGCAAGATTCTTCAAATCCAAATCCTGTGCGTCAGCCCGCCCCAATTGCCATGACAGTCCATCCATCCCACTTCTTCGAATCACACATACCTGGAACGTTTTGCAGTTCTGGTCGCATAGCGCTTGCGGCGTCATCCCAAGTGCCGCCGCGGCTTGTTGAATCTATTCACGCGAAATATAAAGGCGTTCGTTTGTTAATGAGCACCTGTCTCTCGAAATACAATACGCCATACACGTGCCTAACCCAGTCAATCGATCAATCGATCAATCAATCATACCTTCAAGCCATGCTCGTCCGTGCCCGTAAGGAGCTTCGCGTCCGTATTCCCAAGCAGAATCTGCCACCGTTTCAAAACATCCGCGAGTATCATGGTATACAGATGGCCTACATGGGGAGCTGTGCGCAATGGGGGGGAGGGGGGAAATCAGTTAGCATCTCTTCCAGAAACCCAGTTAGAAGTGAACAGATGAAGAAGAAGAGGGGAAATGGCCAATCTCACCGGCATTGACGTAGAATATCGGCGTGGTAACATAAAATGGCTTCTTGTCGGGCTCTCGCGACGGCGCCGTGCTGAGGCCGCGCGATTGCGATTGCGACTGTGATTGCGATTTCCGCAGAAGCGCGTTTCGACATGGCGAACATACCCAGATTCGCTCAGGGCTCCTGGCAAACCTCGCCGCTCTGGAAGCAGTGCGCAGCCCAGATTCAAGCATCGTTGTCAGAGCACCTTGTGAGCCAGGTTGCAGGATACCGCGACTTCGAAAGGTTGGGGAAAATATTTTGGCCTCCAAAGGGTTGGTTTTGATTGGTTGGTTGGTCCAAGCTTCGAGATGGAACAAAACAGCCTCGGCACGAAAAAAACAAAACAGGAAAAGAAACAAAAAATTCTTTATTGCCATTCCAAGTCAAGTCAACTTTGCTGTTCGTTGGCTACGGCTTGATCCTTGCTGGATGCCTCTGCCTACCAGAAGCTTGCAATATTTTTATTTACCTCCTGCTCTCCCGCCGATGCGTAAAATCAACTGACCGAACTCACACCCGCTTCGTCCACCATGGCGCAGGCGGCAGAGAATGCCATCAAGATATCCATCGAGGGTACGTCTCTCAAAATCCCCCTCTCCCCTCTCCAAAGACAAAGAATCAAAGAATCAAAGAATCAACGTAGCCCATCTTCCCGCATCTGACCCCCTCGAAAAAAATACAGCCGCCACAGCCTTCGTCCAATCTTTCTACCCCGCCCTGCAGTCCGCCCGAGACACCATCGCCTCCTTCTACGCCCCAACCCCAGTCCTCTCCAAACTCCTCTTCAACGGCAACATCGTCGCAGACGGCCCCTCCGTCCAGGAAATCTTCACGAACCAAATGCCCCCCACCCGCTACGACATCCAGTCCTACGATTGCCAGATCATCAATACGAATTACCCCGCGCTGCCTGCGTCGTCGTCGTTGTCGTCGGCATCATCCGCTGTAACTGCCGCTTCGGCAGCGAGGAACATGTCCATTCTGGTCCTTGTGAATGGGTCTGTGAGGTTTGAGGTGGAGGTGGAGCCTGGTGATTCGACGAATCGGAGGTTCAGTGAGACGTTTGTTCTTGTACCGAATGCCCAGGCTGCTGCTGCTGCTGCTGCTGCTGCTGCTGCTGGCGAGGCCCCGAAAGGGAGGGAACAGGAGAAACGTTGGTTGATACAGAGTCAGAATTTCAGGTTGGTTGGGTGAGTGTGGTTGTGTGGATGGGAGGAGAGGTGACTTAGTTTACGGATTTCGACGGGCTTATATACTTTACGAGCTGTGGCTGCGATAAGATCTGGGGCTATCTGATCTGCGAGACGGCTTTATGCAGTTTGCTGCGAAGGTAATACGAAAAGGGAATACAAGACGGGAACCACAGAAGGGGAAGAAGATACGATGGGAAATATCAAGGGGCAATTTTTCCACTGGAACTTGTTGTACCCCGACAACCTTGCTGCAACCGGAATATATAACATGGAACGACGACGTGGAATCCCAACGGGAGATCAATCAACAAAACAAAGCTATGTATATATACGGCTCAACCACCAACATTATCGCGTTGGATGTCTCAAATTCGCCTTCACGCGTTCGACCAGATCATCCCTTGACGCAGTCGAACTGGGCAGGAGACCGCGCTGTGCGAAGGAAAATTGGATAAGTTAGATGAGAAGCTTTACCAAAATACAAACTGCATCCAGGACTTATTTGGGGGGCAATGGAGAGCAGAAATGATAGCCGAAATTGGATCTGTGCATACCGACCTCAGCCACCGTCTCAGCTCCTCTGTCGTCCAGTCTTCCGGGTCTTTGGGGGATGGATTAGCAAAGGGCGATGATATAATTAAGTTATCCGGCATCAAAAAGAGAGAGAAAACACACTTCCTGTTGGGTCTGATTCGGCGGGAAACATATCGCCACCCCAGATGCTCCATACTGCTGCCGCTGTGACAATGCCGGCGAATCCTGCCAATACGGTCAGCCAAGCAGCCATGGGATGATTTATCTTGTTGTTTGCATTTACCAAGGAATAGATTCTATCGAGCATTAGAAATTAGCATGTGGAGTATAATTGTGTCTCATAGTATTTTTTGGGCACTAGTTAACTATACCTTTGAATTCAAAGCTTTATCTAATGGGGTGGGCATCTCGGCTGCTGTATTTCCTTATTTCCTTATATAGCATATATATTCATAAGGCACCAAAAGTATATCAGTTTAGCATTGTTATCACCACCCAACTACATACACTCATTCCCGCATGTATATGTAGTACTATTCAAAGGACAAATATTCCATTCTATCCCCCCAAACGGTGATGCCTGCTGTCCTTACCTAATCAGCGTATCTTCACATGCCAAGATCCATGCACGGACCATTTGCCCGATTAGGGTTAAAACAAGCCCTTATCAATCTACACCGCACAATCAGAGCAACAACAGAGGCCAGACTGGGTTGAAGAAGCTCTGAGAGACCGACTGCCATCGCACCTCCATCTCCCATATCCAACCTCACTCACCGATTCACGCCGCCCACCATGCCTAGCGAAGTCTCAGATATCAAGCAGTTCATCGAGATCTGCCGGCGGAAGGATGCTTCATGTCGGTCCCCCCCCTCCCTTAAGAAAAGACATTTTCAATCCCGCGCAGATTAAAGCTGGACCTTGTACAGTGTACATACAGTGACAGTGTCCCTTTCAACCTTTCAAAGAGTGAAAAAAAAATATGCGATGAGATGTGTTTGGAAATGGGAACCAATGATGCAACTTGTCATGTCCATTTGCTGACTCGGTGAATCTTTTCCTGCTTTGAATACATATATATAGCTGCCCGTATCAAGCGCAACCGCAAGACTTCCCAGATCAAGTTCAAGGTCCGGTGCCAACGATTCCTCTACACCCTCGTCCTAAAGGATTCCGACAAGGCAGACAAGCTCAAGCAGAGTCTACCGCCCTGTACGTCCCCGTTTCCCCTTTGCCGCTTTTCCTTGTTGATTTTTTTTTTTTTTTTTTTTTCCGGTTCCTCGCGGGGAGGTCTATGGGCAATGGAGTGTTGTGCATTTGATGGGAGGGTCATATTTCGAGAATGCCGGAACTAACATGTGTCCAAAATCGTGATATAGCTCTCAAAATCGCAGATGTCTCCAAGGGAAACAAGAAGTCCACCTAGACGGATGGTTTTTGGGTTTAATGAAACGGGAAGGGGGTGGTGTTTGGGGAGGGGTGTCTAAATAAAAATAATATTTAACCAAAAAAAAAAAAAAAAAAAGATGAAGAAAAAATGAATAACAAACATTTCGTCGGACATATGACCTGGTTTAACACTCAACTGGAAATAGATACACTACGATTGAACGTGTGAAGCTATAGCTCATTTTCTTTCATGCCAAAGGGACGCGGATTATCAAATGGAATGGAGAAAGCAACCGCCTTTTCCCGTGGATATTCAACAGGGCAAATATCAACTGGAGCAAGGGTGCCAGCATGCCTCTTACTTTCTTTATTCGTGTTGATATAATGGCAAAGCTCGTGTTGAAGCACTCCAGTCACTACTCAAGTACTCTCTTCTTGGGGACTTGATGTAGTCAATAGCTTCTAGGTTCTTTCGAATGAATGATAGACTCCAGAGCTCGATAGCTTTGGCAATAGTCTTTTTGTCCTTTCCATATACCTCTTAATTTTGATTTCCTTTACTTCCTCTGTTTATGAATTCGTGGACCACAATATCACAGGAGAACCCTCACGAAACTAACCCCTAATTGCTTCATCCCCGTTCGTAGCCCACCTCCATATACTCCTCCACCCCACACCTTCTCAACAACTGCTCCCCCTCATCTCTACCCAATCCTTCCCTCCTTAACTCCACCTCCCCAAACACATTCGGCTCATCTGACACCTTCGTAAACCCCAAACTCAGAAACAACCCCAGACTGCGCGCATTACCTGCGCCAATCTTAGCAGATAGATATGCTAGTTTCCCCTCTCCCACTACCACTTTTCCTAGTTTTGTCTCGTCCCGTCTCCCATTATCGTTAGCAGCAGCGACCCCAGCAGCAGACGATAACGAAGAAACAAACCCCTTCATAATTTCCACCTCATGGTCCGCAATATACTTCAAGAAACATACCAGTCCAGCCCTCCCATACCCCTTACCCTGCTTCACTTTCTCTGCTATCATAAGTTCTATTTCACCGACGACTCTTGCGCTGCTACCTGCAGCAGCAGCAGGGAGATGGCCATTACCACCTCCTTCATCGTCCGCATCTAGTCTCAGAAACAAATTCACGTCTCCCAGCATTGATGCTGAGGCATCGATACATGGATCAGTCAGCGGTGCCGTAGCTCGCACCTCTGCGGGTTGGCTGGCGTTTACATCCTCTGCAGCTGCAGCAACACGAGCCACAGCCCCAGCTGGTAACGAAGATGGTGAAGAAGAAGAAAAAGAAGAAGATGATGATGATGATTGTAGCGTTTGACGAAGCGGCAAACAGATTATAAACGTTAATTTATCCGCATCGGTGCGCCAGCTGGTTTGCATGGCGTATTCCTCCTCAAGGCTTAATGGTTCGGAAGCGGTGGCTTGTTGGATCTCCTATGTGTTTGATATTTATCATTTGTTATCATCATCATCATCGTCATCATTACTATCATTATTATTTTTTCGCTAATGATAATTACAATATGTAAATATATATAGACCTACGGGGTCTTTCATCCACTCATGGTACTGCGGCACATGGTGCTTGCAGTATGGGACGAGCAGGACACGGGAGGACGAGAGGGCTGTTAAGTTTGTGTCAGTCAGCTCATACCCAGATCTGGATTTGTGTAGCTATATTTTTTGTGGGATGGGTATAAAAATAAATAATGATTGCAGGATGGAACTGATATGATATTTTCGTCAACATCGACACGAACAATGATATAATAAGGAATTAATAATTAATATGTTGCATGTCTGAGTTGGCCTGAGCGAGCTCAGTTTGTTGGCGGCAAAGCATGGTACTTATTTTATCCATGGAAGTATTGTGTTGCATTCATTACATACCGGTCTTTTCGTTGATGAGCATAGTTCAATTTGCCAATTCGTTACGGAATAGATCAAGGCTCTTTTCAAGCTCGAAGTGTCCTTGTGTGATATGTACGGTATGTGTTGTGGCTCATGAGGGTGAAAACGGAAAACGGAGAATGAAGCGGGATGGGGTAATGGCTAAGAATGATTTTTATATAACTAATTCTAATATGATGGCGGGGAAATGAGTTTGGGTTTGAACATGAATTTGTAATACTAGTACATAAAGGAGGGATTTATTGCTTTCTTCTCTCCCGTTCCTCTGTGCAGAGTGATATCTAGAACATGAACAAAAAGCGGGAAGAGTGCGTTATTCAAGATGGTGGTTAACTTGGGAGCTTACCAGGATAGGAAATTAGGGTCTCCATCTGAGAGTAATTTTGGTGTATCAGTGTGGAAGTGCAAGTCATCGCAAATTAGAATAACATGATAAAATGATTTTCTGATCACCGAGAGAGGAAGTTCTAATGTGCTTCGCTGTATCTATTTGTTTATGGCGATTATGTCGTTCTGCAATCATAATGAAGCTACTATGCCGACATCTCAATGGTTTCTTTAGGCATGGAGGCAGCAATATACCCCCCTTCCAACAGCTAGCCGTGATACATAAGACGTGCGTGAATAATTCCCAACAAATTATTACTCATGGACTATAAGAAAAAAGAAGTGTACGCCCTACTCCATTTTCATCTCGCTATCGCCATTCACCTCAAGGTTCTCCTTCTCAAAGGTACCAAACTTCACAACTTCCACTTCCAACGTTTCCGCATCAACGAGCACGATCTCGCCCGTCTGGCTGAACTTCGGAAGCGCTATTACGCGCACGCGGGTGCCTTGCTCCTCGCCATTATCTTCCGAAGATAAGATAGTGGAAGCTTCGACAATTCCCGTTCGGAAACTTGGTTGGTTCCCCGCAAAGAAAACGTGCGGACAGGATTGGAGAGTGAATGGGTCGTGAGTTTGATAAGGGTAGCACCCTGAACAAAGAAAAAGAAGGTTAATGGGGGCATCTCGTAGGGGATACAAAGCAAAACGTCGAGGATAACGGGGGCCGGAGAGAAAGAGAACAAAACATCAAGAAAAAAAAAAAAAAAAAAAAAAAAAATCTTACATAACGTATCCGGAGCAGTGGGCACAGCACACCGCCATCTTAGCATTGCTTCCATTAGTCGTAATCGCGCTTCACCGTCCTTGTCACTTTCACTGCCCTGAAGGGTATCCCCTTCCACTTCCAAATCTATGTAGCGAAGCACATCGTCAACATTCTGACCACTGCAGCCCCAAAACCGCCAGCCTTCCACATCGCCTTCCCAGGGATTCGTCACGTTATCTAGCCAACCCGGTTCAGCGGCGGGCTCAGCCGCTCCCGGGAGCGCTGCAGAGCAATAGGCTTTTGAACGCGGAAACATGGCCCTGTGGATTTCCTGCTGGGGCAATGAGAAATTCGCAGGATCGGTTTCGCCGGGCATGAGGGTTATGGGAATACTAGGGAGGATCTCGGCAAGGAATGTATCGAAATGATTGATGGGCGAAGCGTTGTAAGCTGTGGCATCGTAGCCATACTTTTTAGGAGCGTGGCGCTTTTTCGCCAGCGCGGGATCAGCATTCTCGGCTTCAGGTTGAGAGATGATCATGCTGCTTCCGAGGGAATTTCCGGCAATTATGAGGCGGGTGATCTGGGATGAAGATGGGGGGGTATTGTTGTTGTGTGTTTGAGTGGGAAACTCGTTATATCCGAGAAGGTACTCCGTTAAGAGGGATAGGGCGACTGTATCTCCAGACGTGCCGGTGATGTTAAGACCGCTGACTAGGGCTATCTTTTTTCTTCTTCTTTCAATGCTGTCACTGCTTGCTTCGAGGGAGCTGTGCTTCCGCTTCGCAGACTCTTGAGGAGCAGATGACCTCTCCCAGCGCTCGGGTTGAGGTGGTAGATCAGGTACCTTAATATCGATCACCTCAAAATCGCCATTGGCGTTCTCCGTGCCGAGGACCGCAACTATTGCCCCTGTGACGAGAAGAGACGATTGAAGTAAAGTTCCGGTCAGCTGCAAACGGCCAGACTCATCTTCTAGCATTGTCTTTGTCAATGCTTGATTTGAAGGGTCAACATATGTTCTTCGAACGGGCGGAGCGGCAGTCCAATGCTGATGATATCGTTAGATTGAATGAATGCGGGAGGCATACGAATGATAAAATAAATAAATAAATAAATAAATACGAGGTTCCAAATATCGACTGGCTTACTTCTTTTGAGATGTCGTCTAAAATGTTAGGTTTCAGTGGAAGATCCATGTAGATCGTGCCAGCGACCCAACACAATTCGCCTTGCCGTACGTCAAGTACTCTGTCTACTCGCTTTGCATACTCTCCCGCAATCTGTCGTAAGAAGCCAACTTAGTACACTGAAATAAAACGGTGGGAAACACTCCAAGTTCGTAACCCATGATAACGTACTTGAGGTATTCAATTCCACCCGAACAAAAGGCCAAAGTCCCGAATAGATGAAGAAAATAACATTTACATACATTAAACCCTTCCCACGCCGCGACTGCGATTTCAGCAACGGTAGGCTTCAATCTTGCCAACCGCAAAAAATAAATATCAGCATACTGCTGCTGATAGTGCCTCATTTCCCCCCTTGGCAAGACGAAGGTAGAAAGCGGTGAGTATGCTGAGGGCTGCCGATACACCGGCGCAAACTCCTCATCATCACTGGCACGGATCAAGTGTCAGCTTGTAAACCATTTAACAGTATCTACCACCTCCGGCATGCTACGCAATGGGAAGGAGGGGATTTCTATGTTGGAAGGGATGCCGCATACCCTGGCGGGCGGAGGAATTGCTCCGCGGGATCGTCCAAGGCCATCTTTGTCAATCTGCGAGAAGACCTCTTGGGCTATGGACGAGTGGCCAAGAGAGGAAGTGTGCACATTATTTTCTCACCAACGGAACTTCAAGATCTGCCGTCCGTAATCATGCAGATTCGGCATCGCCCAAGACGAAAAAAAGCGACGCGACGACTTACCATCAACGCGTTTTTGCGAACGAGCTAGCACGTGAGAGAGGGCAATGCGACATGTGACTTATCCGATAAGCGCGATGCTCTCGGGAATTGGCGGCAAATCCACCAATAAAATCTATAGTCCATGGACAGCGGCACACCCGTTAAGCAGCCATTTGGAGTTCGCAACATTCTGTGTCTGCAACTACGCAATGTATGCCATGCTAGATGATGGGGAGGTTGATCCGGCTATGATCCCAATTCTACTTCCCGCCAGGGTTAATAATAATACTATTACGGACTACTGGTAATTATGGCGTGACAAATTGCTACAAGCAGACGAGCAGGAGAGAATCCAACCCTCGCTTTCATTATTCTAGCAAGACGCAGCACGCCATGGACGCGATATTATATTGTTTTTGGTGCTAGTATTTACGCTGCGTTGAGGGAGAAATTTATTTTTAGTGCTTAGCCGATCCAGACTCCTTTGCCGAGATTCCATCGGATTTGCGAGTGGACAACTAACTAAACTTAGCACGACAGCATTCATCGGGCACCACGTAAGCCGTCCCACCCCTTTGGAACTGGAATTATTCATTATATCCAGAATCACACAGAATGGAGGGACTTGGGCCACCACCTCTAGCGTGACCAGGTTCGTCTGGGAGGGACAATCCTCAATAAATAATGGAATATGCCCAGCCTGACGAGTAGCCGGCAGCTGTTCCTCTGCTCTGTTCGCCTGTCGAGGTCCGGCAATCGGTAGTTACATGGAGATGCCGCTGGGCCGCCTTCCTGAGCCGCGCAATCCTGGCCCCGGCCCCGGCCAACCACGATAAACGCCGCTGCCGTAGCGGTTTAGCTGTCCACAACACGTTGACAACCAAGATGTGACAGCTAGAACAATGCAATGGCATGGCAATCTCTTTGACAAGCATTTCCACACCTTTTCGCGCTGAGCGATACCATCTTCTGGAGAATGGAAACTACTTGCGGTGTGCTGTTCAATCCGTACTGACTGTGCTCCTGATACACGGTATGCGATCCATGCTGATAATGTGATCCCTGCCGACCGTCTGATGTATCTCTGAAACAGCTTCTATGGTTGACCCATCCTGCTTCTTCTCCCCGGCCATAAAGTAGGATATATATCAGTTATCCTTCAGCCTTTCAAAATGAAGATCCTCTCCTCCACCCATGGCAGCGCTAGAATACTGGTAGTCATCAACCTGTCACTCTTCACCATCTGTCTCTTCAACCTCCTCACCCTCACCACAGCTCTACCGACCGGACAACAACAATTTGACTCAATAAGCACCATTGGACGTCCAAAGGGCCACGAGAAACGGAGTCTACCTGGTTTGCTGGTGACGGCTCCTGAAGGGGCAGTTGGAGAGCACCCCTCACCGGCTTCCGGGGGTGAAGGACACAATACGGCGCCAAAGAAGACACCCATCTATTTCGCCTTGCTAGCCATCTCTGCGCTTGTGTGTGTCGTCATTGTACTGTTTGAGAGGTTGTGATTCTTCTTTTCGTTAACTCTTTTTACTCTACCGTGTTTCTTTGTTTCATCGCTGCTTTCCAGTCTTTGTCATCAGTTTTCCCCTGTTTTGTTTTTTTTTTTTTTTTTTTAATTTTTTTATCTCTTATGCCTTATGCATTAACATGGCGAATCAGTGTTGGCGTCAAAGGCAATGACGTCTCTATGAAATAGGATATGTAGTATGCAGGCTTGCTCTCTGGTCAAGTTGTGGATATGCCAGGGGTACAGTGGAGGTGATCTCTAGCATTGAGCCGTCATGAGCTTCTCGTTAGCAACCAACTCTTCCAGTGCGACAGGTCGTCGAAAAGAAACAAAACAAAGAGGCGCTTTTGTCGCGGCCGCTTTGGCCCATGTATCGGGGGATCAAAGGGAGCCCACGTTCCAAACAATTGGGAGTAGTGTGGGCCATCCTTTCTAGAATCTCGTTATCGATTACTAGGTTAATCTGTTTTATAAATGAAATTTTGGTTTGGGTGACATTTCATGTCGCCATTGACCAAGGGACAAACAACAACAACAGTAGTCTGAAGTCTATACCAGCAACAGATCCAAGACGGAAAGCAAGGTTTCACGTACACAATGAATTATGATCCATCATCCAGGACCGTTGGTGGAAGAAAGTTGACCAGTCCCTGATCGTCAACCAGCAGAATTTAGTTTCAAGGCAGTTGAAGCTAATTGAAGTTTCAACATTTTCAACCTCCAACACCACACCCCCCAAGAGCCTACAATTTGGTAAAGGATGTTGTTGATAATATCCCCGGATTTGATGCAGCGGAGGAGAGACATTTTCCGTCAACTCACTTAACCTCATCTATTGCTGCCGAAAGAGCAGATAGCGTATCATCAAGTGCAGTAAGCTGCAACTAAAACCACTCGAGCTATTGTTTGTCTAGCCAGCAAGACGAAATACGAAATATTCATTGAATGGATTGAATAACATGGCCAACTCGCCATACTCCTTTGAAAAATGGCGCCAACACGTCGCAACAGACCCGTTGGAGGGACACGAGGTATCCTCCCTCAACTACTCGGCAAGCGCAGATTCAGCGGAGCCATCCTTCTGCACAGGAACAGGGTTGAGTATCCTGAGCGACTACATCTGTCCAGATATTGAGACAGCGGAGCGGGAGGTCGTCTTCGTGACCTGTTTCTGGGCTACCATGTCGAAATCTCGACTACGACTATGCGACGCCCTCCGTGCCCTGTCCGAAAAGGTCGTTCAGAAACGAGCAGACGCCCCCACGCACACTACTGCCATTGAAAACATCAAAGTCTACATCTGTCTTTCGTCCGTCTCTCTTTTGCAGAAACTACGACACATCAAATCAACAGATGGATACGTCTACGACCCGACGGAGTGGAACAAGAAGCTCAAGCTTCCCGCCCCGGATGAAATCCCCGGACTAGATTTAACCGTCAAATCCATCTTCATTCGGCCGTTCTCCGTCATGCATCCGAAATTCGTCATTGTCGATCGTAAATTCGTCTGGGTACCTAGCTGCAACGTCAGTTGGGAGTCATGGTACGAAGGCGCTTTTCGCCTGAAGGGCAGCATCGTTGAGAAATTCCATAAATTCTGGGCTGAGGTCTGGAACCCCGAGATGCTGCGGATACATGGAGTGGTCGGAGATGTAGCATTTCCAGCTACGGCTGATGTGAATCTCCCACCACTCAAGGACCCATCAACGAAACTCCCAGGTCGACTCTTCAAATCGTTCGCCAACATCCCCGCGGACCGGGAGATACAGACGCTTTTCCTACCGTCATCGCACCATCAAAACCCGGCTTTCCGGCCATGTATGTGCCGCGCGCCAAGGCCAGAGCCACGCACGCCGCTGAATGCGTTCACCAAGTTCCTGCTTGCGAATGCGGAACGCGACATATACATCACCACTCCAAACATGACCGCGAACCCTGTGATCCAGGGGTTGGTGAGAGCGCTGGAATGGGGCATCAATGTCACTATTATTACGAACACGAACCTAATGGTGACGGAGCAGCTAGCCACGTCAGGGACGACCACAGGGTGCTGCATAAAATCACTGGGCAAGCTCCATAAACGCGTGTTGGGTGCATGGGCGGCAAAGGCAACAGACGGCGGGGAAGAAAGCCCGGATGTGAAGAAGCCGGGGAAACTGTCCATTAGGGAGTGGAGGGCCGCGAGGAAGGGCCGGGATATTAGCGGCGAAACCGCATTTGCCAAATCGCATTTGAAGCTCACGATTGTCGATGAGAAGGTGGTTCTCTTTGGCAGTGGAAATATGGATCGTGCCAGCTGGTTTACGAGCCAGGAGGTTGGGGTTGCGCTATACTCGGCAGAAGTGGCGAAGGAGATTCTCCACGGGGTGCTGCTTCAAGATATTGAGAAATATACTAGAACTGTTTACGAGTCATGAGAGGCTTGAGCTCGAAAGGGATTGAACTTTGTTTTAGTTTTTATGGAATTTTTGTGCTCATTTCAGTGGCGCTCCTCCCTGTTGGGATTCGGCTTGTTTTTTGATTGCGGGACAAGGTAAAGTCATGTTTAATATGTAATTAGAATTGTTGAATTGCCGTGAATTTTGCTGGTTTCCGGCTTCCGAATTTTCTCCTACCCGTTCCCCCCTTTTCAAAAAATATTTAGTTCTAGTATCTCTGTTTTATTCTATCCACGATGTTCTTGTTCCATTAGAAGCAATCTCCTAAGGTGAAATTCAAAACACAAACCAACATAAGAGAATTGGTTCTGTGGACTTGCAAAACAAACAGAATTTGAGATATCGGCTTTCAAAACAGCACACACCATACGCCTACTCCCCCAAAAACTTCAATCTCGCGGACCATTCTTCCTACATTGTGACGACGTCGCTTATAGAAATCGGCGGAGGGTCGTAGTTCAGATGATTTCCGCTGCCCTCATTTATTCCCTACGTCGAAATGAACGAGTGTTTTCGCTTTTCGAGATTATCCATACTACATTTGAAGAATTGAAGCGGCGGTTTTTCCTTTGGGCGGATGCTCCCACTAGTTGAGATCCAACAATGCCTTCAAGCCTTTTTACTCCTTGAAAATGTTAGTTAGGGATAGCTACAACTTTGCAGCCTCTTTCCCCTCCAATTTTCTCTCTCTTTGTTCAGGCTAAAACCAGGACATGCTTCATATGGAGCCAGATGGGAATCGAAGCTAACGAACTTAGCCTCGGTGCAAAAATAGCTTTAAATCCCAGGTGAACGTCGAACCGCGGTCCAACAACTCCTCAATACTGTGGGGAAGCCCCAAGTGATTGGGGAGGAGAAGAGTCAAAACACCTGGGCAAAGGAGAGACAGATAAAGAAAACATAAGAAGAACAGCGATGTCCAACGTTGCATTTGCTATTTCATTAATCTGAGAATAAAATCCCTTGGTATCTCGGAATCGGGGAGAAAGTCAGCAGCTATGTATAGCCATTAAAAGCTCCGCCTCAGAGTGCTCTTCATTTTATATTCCCATTAATTTCCCGATTGATAAAAACTACGAGCTCCCACGTACAGCCGAGCCCTCCAAATAATAGATATATACCCCTTTCCACCTTCTTCATTCCTAAAGCTTGACAACCAACCCCCCGCCCACCCCCCCCTCTGTAAGAAAATGTCTTCTTTCACCAAATA